TACAGTTAACTATAGTCTTAAAACTCTATTGGTTTTTGTGTTTTTACATTAAATATTATATTTATTTTGATCTTCTAATTATTAATATGTTTAACTCTTTATTTTATTAAACATTCAGAAATGTTTCATTTTACCAGCTAATTCAAGAATCTGCAAAAAAGAAGGCTAATTCAAAAAATGAACCATAGATCTGTTGTAAAAACAATATTGCAAGCAAAATTTTCAACTTAATGGAGGGTATTTGTGGAAGGATGGGTGATTTGGGTGTTATTCATCATAAGTTTAAGTTCAGACACCAAACATGAGCCTATCAAAAAAAAAAAAAAAAAACAAAACAAATATTAAACAATCAAAATAGTAAGTAGAGGATTTTTTAGTCAATATAAACATTTTGACCTTTTTGTCTAATTTGATCGTTCTTACAATTTTTTTATTTTTCTTAATTTTGGCCACTGTAAATGAAAAAAATATATATACTGTGTTTTTGTTGTTATTTACGTTATGTAGTTTCTCAACCATGTAGCACATGTGTTTGTAAACAAATAAACAAATAAATGAAATTGTCTTCTTACTTTTATTTCTTTCTATGATGTGATTATAGTTTGAATATTTTTCTTATTAGAACATTGTCGTTTCAGTTTTTTTTGTTATCAGGCTATTAGTATTTATCTATTTCATATGGTTAATGTTTGGTTTCTATTTATTCTGATTTAATCGTAAACGGATCAATTAAACTGTAACCCAAACTCTATTCGATTCAAGTTCGGTTGATATTATTGAAATTTAAAAATACCGATTAAACTCAAACGCACAAATGATAATTGTTAAACGAACTGCATATGGTTAACAATATGATCTTTATGTTTGTGTATATCAAAAATCTTTATTGGATCGATTTTAGATCGATTTTATTTTGTTTAACGAGACATTTCATTATAAGAAACTATTACATCCAGTGTTGTATGAAAAAAAAATTGGAAATTTATGATTTATGATTATTTTTTAATAATATTTAGTATTGTACAAACTCATAATTTTATAAAATATCTACACATACAGAATGTAAATCGGATATTCATAACAGCGTATATATTTATTTTAAAAAATCATTATATACAAAACTTATATTTTTATAAATTAATAACTTTTTTACAAATCATTGATTAATCATTACCATTTGGAATTATAAATAGTTTTTTTCTTTCTCAACCGTGGCTTTCACGGGTTTAAACCTNNNATATATATATATATATATATATATATATATATATATATATATATATATATATATATATATATACTTGTATTATTAATGAAATACAGACGGGTTCAACATATCTATTATCATGGTATCAGAGCACACAATCCTATAAAAATCCTTCTCAGCCGCCAATCTTCTTCTCCCTTCTTCTATCGATTCTTCTTCTCCAATGGATCCTAAAATCACCTTGTCATCACAGTTACCAATATCCGAAATTTCATCTCGTTCACTCTGGAAATGGAGAATGGCCAATACACTTCATGGGATGAGATGTTCAAAATACACCGTCGAGCATTCCAACTCGGAAACCACATCGATCCCTAAGCCAAAACATCACCTTCCGCTCCCTTATCTTCAACAGCTACTAAGGCAGAAAAGGTCAAACTAACTTCCGAATCTGAAATCTAGTCTCGTCTAGATGGCATTGTTCTTCAATGGATTTATAGTACAATATCCAATGATCTCCTTCACACTGTCCTATAACCTAACACTACCACGTCATAGGCTTGGCAAGCTCTTGAAAATATCTTTCAAGATAATCAAAGTTAAAGGGTTATCTATCTTGACATCAAGTTTGTCACCACTCGTCTTGATCATCATCCCAACATCTCCTCTTACTACCAAGCTATGAAGATGTTGGCAGATCAACTTGCCAACATAGGAAACTCAGTGTCAAATCAAATACTCGTTCTATAATTGATTGTTGGTCTTAATGAAAGTTACGAAGGTGTCTCCATGATCATACAACAAACCACTCATCCCTGACTTCTATGATGTTCGAT